ACAATTTAAGCGACCGTGCTAGAACCACGGGATTCGAGGGTGCCTAACACCTTCCCTCGGGTCAACAGAATTCCTTACTTAGAATTTCTGGTTCGCAGACTTCATTTGGAAAAGTCGAAAATTTCCTCGATTTGGGATTCAAGATAAACCGGTGACTTGGGACACCAAAAGCCAAACCTTTCCCAAGTGGCGACTCTGAATTAAAATAAATAATCCCATTTCGAATATTGTCACTTAAATTGAAAAAACTCCCCTCGCGCATTTATCCTTCGGGGCGGGCGCGCAAAAAGGAGGTGTGACATTGGCAGCAATTCGAATCTGTAAATCTTGAAAGGTTGGATTATCTCTTAGCCGGCGAAAGAATTGCGCATAAGGATTTTCATCCATTATCTGGCTAATTTTTAATACAATTTCCTCTGATAAGTTTGCTTCTTGGAGTTTTGAAATCCTATTAGACAACTCATTGTTTGTGTCAAAAAAGTATAACTGGAAATAACAAGGATTATCATTCTGCGGGAGTAAAGATGGAAGATTGTGATATATCTGACCTTGTGCCCTAAATGCGTATACTCCTTTCCTTGAAGATGCCAGTTCTTTGTCGAGCGTAACACCGACGGATGTAAACGCAAATATGCTATTATATGCTCTAATGTTTTTGCGGAACTCTTTCGCTTGTTCTGACTCGGCAATAAGTAACTCGTACAATGGAATTGGAACTTCAGTATTAGCCAATTTGATAGATCCACTTCCGCAACAAAATGTGGGAGTCTCATACTGAAATCTTATAGCATGACAATGGATACATTCAGCAATACTTTTCAACTTGTGAATATCTGATATCGATGGTTTGTATGCAATATCACCTAAGTTTATGTAGCCAGATGTGTTATAGATAATAAAATGTGATATCTTGTCATACTAATAAAATGTAATCAATTTTGAAGCAAATTTATTTCAACACGTACCTTCAATATCACACTGTTTCGATAGAGCCTTCAGTAGCGAAGTTATTTTAGGCTGCTTTCTCGGTATTCTTTCTTCAATGTCAATATCTTCAATTGATTGATTTGAGAGTTCTGAACAAATAACGCATAAGTATCAGGTTTGCCTATTTAAATATATGTTTCATACAATATTACAATGTATAGCTTAAATGAAGCATAGTTCTCCATCACGATCAGAAGGATCGTCATTGATCACTTTGGAGCTGCCTGCAGCAGAGTCCTTAAACTTCTCCTTTAAGTTCATCGTTTGAGTCTGCAGGCTTCGATTTATTTATAGTTCGCCAAAGAAGTTTTTGTGACTCTACTTTGGTACAATTTTAAAACAGACTAACAATCTAATATTCATGAAAGTTACAAAGTTGTGGCGAATTCAAGACTCCCAATTACAATACTATATAGTCCCTAAATACGTGAAGTGAATCTGTGAAAGAGGATGTGTGCTAAATTTGAGATAGTAATAGGAGTTTATCTGTTTCATGGTGACTGTTGAACCACAACAGGTAAGTCAGTGTTTCAACTCAAATAAAACTCACACAAAAAGAGAGAAAGAATCAAAGACAAAGAAGCAAAACCAGTCACAGATACAAAAAAGAGAAAGATTATACAAACTAATATTGATAATTTGTCATTATCTTATATATATTTACCTGAAAGTTCTTGTTCATGTCTACTATGGTTTCCATCGTTTAACTTTGTTGTGTTTGTTTCAATATATTTGTTCATCCTCCGAATAGCGTAAGCAACCCTACGTTGGTCTACATAGAGTAAATAATGAATTATTTAATTCAGTGTTAATTCTTAATATCTTAAAGAACAAAATGTGTTAATCATATTTATTTCTACCTTGTGCCATTTGTATTGAATGAATGATATCCTGTGGCATATGAAAAAATTGTTAATACCCATTCTAATTGAAGTAAACGCAAAGAGTAGCACTTGATTAGAAACACACAGGAAGTAGAAACTCTGCACTAAATATTATTAATTGCTATGCCAGCAAAAGTTGCTCCTTATTAAAGGCAAAATTAAAATTTAGCTAATGAACAAGTATCTAGAATATCAAACAGACTAAAGGTTATACTATTTAATAAAGAATGCTAAAGCACTAATCCCTTTCTATATTAATTCTTTTATGGGTTGTTGAGGCATCATTCTCTTCTTCAATTTGTTTGGTCTTCTTGATTGTTTTCGCCGCTTTTATCTCGTCATCTGCAATTTCGATTGCATCTACTTTCCCAACTTCGTGTAATTCCTCTGCAATCAAACTTTTTCCAGGTCGATCTCCTCCAATTCTTGGATCAAGTTTGACAAGAAAGGTGAACTCTTTATCCTTACTTGACACCAACTTGCGATAGTACTTGGATTCTTCTTTCTGCGCCAAAAAAGGATTAGGTTAGGTGAAAAGAATAATTTTCTGAAAAAGAAAAATATGCTAACGATAGAAGTTATTATTCCATTGCAAGTAAGTTGACACATTCAGATTGGGAAACTATCCTTGGTATATATAGTGTTGTAATCAAGGGAGCTTTAGAGGATGAAAATTGGAATTCCTTATATATTTTGAGATGATAATCCTGAGTCTTTATCCAAATTATAAGGATTAATGTTTCCAAGGGCTAACGGAGGACACGAGTATTAAAACTTCAAGAATATGTTGAATATCGTAAACAATATTTTGTTTTGCTGTCTCATTATTGAGCAAGTGGGATTGGTACAGAAATATTACAAAGCAACATAGAACTTACTAACCTTCTGAGAAATTGATCGTACATATGTAGTAACGTCACAACCGAGCAAGTATTTTGTAGCTTCAAAGAGTGTTATGTAACAATGTTCTTTTTCGTCAAACAACTCAAGTTTTAGAAGATATCTACAAAAAACATAATAGTACATAATTAGAACAGTAAATATCTTTTTTAATATATGAAAACGCAGCAAAACCATTTTTGTATTTACCTTTCTTCATATTCAACGTTGCTACCACAACGAGGACATGTTGCAATATTATCTACCAAGCTCACTTTCTTATAGCATTTCTTGCAAGATAAATACCATGGGTCGTCATTGTTGATGATATCTTTTATTTTCACATTAAATTTACGATATGTGTCCTACAAATAAACATAAAATAAGTTGGTTAGATTGGACACATTATACAAAGTATAATTATTTTTTAAATAGTTGAATAATGTACCTCTGTATTGTCAAACGAATCTGCATGTGTTATGTCTCCAATCTTGACTTTTCTGGCCTTTTTTATCAATCTACTTGGCATTAGTGTTATGTCTTTGTCTTGTGATTTCATACAGTTATGCCTGCGTTTCAATTAATTAGTACGTAGTAATAACCAAATTTTAGCAATAACTCCTTAAAGTCGAGTCCAAAACATATCTTACCAATTCTGTAGAGCAATTGCTTTTTCAAACGATGGATTTGTCATTACACTACTAACATGTGTAGTAGATATGACGAAATTACCTACACAATTATAAAAGTGAAAACGTTAAGTTCAATAAAAAAGATGAAGAATTTACCGTATGCGTAAAGGAATTGGATATACTACCTCGGTATGTTATACCCTTAACGTCACATAGCGCCACAATAGGTTTTTCAAATATCATATTTTGGAGAATATCACCATCTTTTTCTGCTACTTCTCCCCATAAAGTTACAGTTTGACGATCACACCTGAGTTTTATAATTCAATATTATATTAACGATATTTAATGCATTGATAATAAATAAATAAGTTAAGTAAATTCAACTTACCTTTCATTCATTAGCGTTATTTCTCTTCGTTTCCTGTTACTGTCTCCGATTGAAGCATTAACTTTCACTAAGATACCAAGTGTGTCTGCAAAAGAATATTAGTAGAAAATACATGTAAATAACTACTAAGAATTATTAAGCAAATAGGAGTAGAATATTATTCATAATGTAAGATTAATCAAAGAAATCTAAAGAAATTACCAAATATTATTCCATTGGTGCATTGGAATGCCTCTTCGAACGAAACGAAACTGTTTGAGAAGCTAATGGTTGAAAACGAGTTGTTGCATCTCTTGACTATAGTATTATTACTGAACACAATCTCAAATTCTTTGTGTACAGATTGAAAATTAGGTTTGCGATCATTTATGCGGCCGTTAATGATGTAATAGATACCGCCTTGTTCTAAATGTTCCTTCCACATATTCACTTGATCAGTGAAAAGTATAACTTGCATTTTTGTTTCCTGTAAAGTTTTATCATAATTTAATATCATGATTGGAAACAAAAATAAAAATAACATTACCTCCTCATCTACAAATATGAGAGTCTATCGAAGGCCTTGATTTGTTTCATTTTTAAATTCTTTAACTACTCCACATTGAATAAGTAAGACTTATTATCCATTGAGAGTCGGATCTTCTCAAACTGTTAAGTAGCACGCATTCGTTTGCAAATTCAGTTTCAGTTTCCATTGCGAGTACCTGAAATCAAGTGCGAACACGTGGTCTAATATCAAAAAGGCACTAAAATCATATAAGACATTCATAATTTTAAAAATTTTATTTAACAGAAGATTTAAAAGAATTACTTAGACTAATAATAAGGATAGCTAATGCACTAAACACATTTTAATCCAACTACAATGTACCTACTATTAAAATTGAGGATTGATAAGCTTTTTATGACTCTATTTTTATTTTGCGTTAATTTTTATGCACATTAAAACCAATTATTTTTCAATAGTAGCATAAATATCAAATAACGCTAAAGCAGCTAAATTAGCATATAGTTTATGTAAATTGATATTACAGAATATCCCAATCTAAGATTTAGAAGAGTAACATAAAAATCATAGTTGAACTGCAAGTAAGCTACATAACTTTCAGAAAATAATATATTACATCATAAAAAGAAGATTATATAAAATATTATTTATGAGATCTATAAGGAGAATTGTTTACCTGAACCAACGAAAATTGCCAAAACTTTGGGAGGATTCAGTGACGCCAATTGTCAAGGGCTATTCTTTAAGAACACAATTTAAAAATTGTGATATGTATGACAATTTAAAAATAGTCAATTAAAAGAGATAATCAAATTTAATTTTGTGAGAAAATATGAGCAACTTCAGCTGGCATAACAATTAGTAAGCTGGCATAAGGAGAAGATGCGAGAAACAATAAGCGATAATGCACTAACAACCATTATTACATAACTTCAAGAATATAGTACAAGATAGAAATTTACCGCAAGTGAGAAGCAAATTTGCTATGAGGACGCATGTTTATGACAAAGAATGTAGAAAATAGCGTCTTTTATAGTTGTAAAATTCTAGAAACCTAATTTGATCTCAAAACAAAGAAGAAGGAACCTACGGTAAGTAGAGGAGAAACTAAATCCTTTGTAAAATTCTAGAAACCTAGAAACCTAATTTGATTTTAAAACAAAGAAGAAACCAATGGAAGAAGCCTAATACGGTAAGCAGAAGCCTAATGGAATTGAAATCCAAAACTTATACAAAGAAATTGAAATAAATGTCTAATACGGTAAGTAGACGCCTAATGGAATTGGAATCCAAAACCTATACAAAAGGAGGTAAACCGCAAGTAGTCGACAATTAGCGTTTTTTTTTAAATTTTGAAGAAAATAGTTATTACAATTACTATTATATCCAACATATAATGTACTTACGAAGGGTAAAAAAGACGAACGACATTTCTATAGGGCCTTCGTGCTTTTAATATAGTATAGATAGATAGATAAAAAAAATCACATAGGTATTATCATAAAATCCAATTATAATAGCCAGTCTTAGGCAAAAATCATAAAAATCCAATTATAATAAATATAATATACATATACAATAAAAAGAATAGAAGGGAAACATGTCCTCACAACAAGATTGGCCATTATATCGAAGATAAAATCTGAAAGTATTTACAATAAAAATGACGAGCGCAAAACCAACGTGTTTACCTCGAAAAATGTGAGTAATAGTTAAAGATAATTTGTGGTTTTAAAGATATGTGATTTATTCCAATACTAGTGAATATACAAGTAATATTAGGTTTAAGTAAGAAGAATTGATGAACCAAACCAGTGCTGCAGGAGCAGCGGGGACCTCGAGCTCAATAATCTCGAGGGCCTCGAGGTGAGCTAAGAACCAATAAAGTATGAACAATAAAGTAAAAATGATAAAGCTGAAGAAAAATTGTTGAGCACGGTAAACGAGAAAAGTAGAGTAGAATGTTCTATTGCAGTGAATGAGATGATCCTTACAAATGTTTGGGGTCCCCTTTATATAGGAGGGAAAAAACCCTAATATGGTACATTTCCAATTATGGTAAAGAATTCTATTGGTACAGCTGTATAACAACCTAGTATGGACTTGTACTATTTCGTACAAATCTAATCCCATAATTTATGCCCTGATCCACGTGTACTTGAGAAATTCTCGCTCTTTCTTGAGTGTCCTCGAAATTGTACTGCCCTCAAGGAAGATCATGACGGCCCCCGATTTGCTTCTCGAGGTGCTCTTATCCGGGCCTTGCTTGATTCTTACTTCGAGCTTCCCGAACTCGGGCTCGGATTATAATCAAGTCTTCAAAATCGAGCTCTCTAATTTCTACCGTATACAGATAGTCCACGCATTTCTTAAAATGAAATGATATGAAACAATTTGGATTTTCGAAGTCCTTAATGATGACATCATCCTCATGATGCAAGCGTTCGAAGTGACCGAAACGTCTCGTCTGTCCACTTCCCCAAAAATATTGAATGCATGCCAGTATTGGTCGGCCACTAATGCCACCGAACTGGCGTTGCTCTTCTATAAATATGAGGCGATTCCTCTAAGAACAGAATGTTACTCTTTCTTCACCCCTTTCCAATCTTCATCTCTTTCTCCAATAACCCATTTTCTCCGCCTCTTTAAGCTCCGGAAAACGCCAAGCTCTTGCCAGAAATACCACATCCGTATGCACTCGTATTATTTAGCTTACAACCACCGGAAAAACTTCTAAAACGGTCCCCAAAAAGGATAAAGCATCATCTCCTTCTGCCTCCTGGCCGGCCAAACCGGTGGTGCCGCCAACACTTAAGGAAATCACCCCTGGTAATTGCATTATTAAGAAAGACTTCAGTATCGAGAATCCTCCTGATGTCCCAGGCCGATGCGAGCACGCATCTCGATATATTATCTTGATAACGAAGAAGCTTATCAAGGATGTAAAGATGGACTGTTGCTTGGGAGGTGAGGTTCAGGTTCAGATCCCGAGCCTCGATGAAAGCATTACTACCCATGTGGAGGGGTTGTTGAGTGTTTACACTTACCTCTTCACACTGGGTCCCATGGGTCCCCTCGATCCGGTGATGATCGACTTCTGCAAAACGTACAAAGTCACCCTTGGTCAAATTCACCCTTCCTTTTGGCGCATCGTGATCATGTTGCGGTATTTTTCTGAAAAGGCTAAGGGTTTGAAATTCACCCTCAGCCACCTGGTTCGATTGTATTGGCCCCAGTTATTTCGAGGGCTCATCAAGCTGCAGCACCGAACAACAAAATCCTTCTTTGCCAGTATTGACAAACCCAAAGATCGGGGTTGGATGAGCCGGTTTGTTAGAGTAAGAACTTCAGACATCATCCCCTAGGATAAAATGCTGTTCCCGGAGAGGTGGAACTTTAACCGTAAGTGAAGTTCGTATTCCCTGTACATATTCATATTCTGCTTCCATATCTCATTACGTTATTTTCCTTTTTCTGGTAGCTAATGCTTGGGCGCCCCAGCGTTGCCCGACCTCAAGGATTGGGTCCGAAAGTTAGCTGCCACTTCTTCCTACGATGAGCGCAAGTGGCGTGAATTATCAAAGGGCCAGTGGGAGGCCAAGAACAATGGAAAGTGCCTTTCAACGGTTTCAACCACTTTCCATACATTGGCGGTGTTTAACTTACTCGTGCTTACCTGTATAGGCCTTTGCGATGCATCCAAAATGAGGCCGGCTCTGCCTGGGGAAAAGACCAAGCCTTCAAATCCGAAGTTCGAGAAGGACAACAAAAGGAAAAGGGTTTCGAAGATCGAGGACCCTCAAGATAAGAAAACCCCTGCTCGAAGGCTATAGAAAAGATTTGCTCAAACGGGCACAAATTCAGCCCATGATTCTCCGGATGATGAAGAAAGTGATGATGAAGAGTCGACATTGGTGACTCAGACTAGGAAGCCAGTCGAGGCCGCCAAACCTTCCAAACTAGAAACCTTATCCTGTGGTGAGGATGCCCTGAGGGAAGAAACGGGCAAGGTCCATATGTCCATGGAGGTTGAGATTGTCCCTCCGTCTTCAACAACAATACCTAACGGGGTAAACACTGAGACCCACAATGCTAATGAGAATGCCCCGAGTGAAGAGCTCGGGGCCGCGACAACAGGTCATTCCCTTTCTTTATCGACTTATTCTGAGGGGGCAATTGAAGAAGCCAAAGCTCTGCGTAAGCTCGATCCAAGCAAGGTCATCGAGGACGATCCTTTTCAGGCTGCTACGCTGGGATTGAAGATGCCGATGACCTGAATGATGTGTCCACTATCTTTGAAGAGTCTCAATATCTCCTTTCCCGGGTAAGTGCTTACCTCTAGTATTGTAATTTTTTCTTTCTTTTCTTTCAACTGATATGTCTCCATTTCATGTATAGGCCATCGCAAAGTTTAGAGCTGAGCTGAGCCAATATGAGGCCGAGCTCAAGAAAGTTTCGGGTGAAGAGAAGGCCTAGAGGCTTCTCTGTAACTAGAAGGAAGGGGAGCTTAAGGATCTCCGAACCGCATTGGCCAAAGCTTAAAAAAGCGAGTTCGAGCTAGATGAGCAGGTAACTATGATTTTAACAGAGTTCGGCCTTCTTGGCCCTACTTTGGAGGCAAATACTTCGATATCTCAGCTTCAGCAAAAGCTAGATATGATTGGGTAGCTCCGAGGCAAGGTAGATCAAGTTCGGGCTAATTGTCATCAGTGGAAGAAGAACAAGGATCAACTTGCTGCCGACAAGGAAGCAGTTATGGCCCAACTGGCCTCGTCTGAAGCTCAACTCCGAGGGGTTGAAGCGAAGGGTCTGGCTTAGGCCAGAAAAATCGAGGGTTGGAGGCCGAGCTGGCTAAAGCCCTGGCCGAAGCTGTATAGGCTAAGGCTGAAGCTGTACAGGCTAAGACATCTATCACGCCCCAAAATCGAGGGGCGCGATCGGCGCTCAAC